TATAATTTCAATAAGAAAAAACAAAAACAAAAAATATATTTACCTTGTTTGACCACGATGAATTTCGTTATTCACAATTTTTGTTTGCATCCCGTTTTTTAATTCCCTGACGAAAAAAAGGCCAATTTTGACTTTTGACAGAGGATAAGAAAAAGATAGTAGGTAGGATTTTCTTCAACTCATTACTTGTTTGTTTCATTCACAGAAAAATTGTTGTTCTTGTGGTGAAGAATCACAAATCAATCAAGTTGATGACAAACCACAAAGTTCATCAATCAACCAACGAACGAACGAACAACACTTGTTTCGCAATTGATAAATAATTATTTAATTATTAATTTACTTTGATCAATAATCCGATGATGATGATCATTATCACTTTTGAATGAATCATTACTGATGATGATAATGATGATCATTTATCAATTTAATTGAATTTTTTTCAACGAAAAGATCTTCTTGACTTTTGACATTTTGAGCAAATTGGGGATATTTTTCCTTCGAACAACAACAAACGAAAAACGTTCGAATTCGAATGTTCGAAATGTTCGAAACATTCATAAATGACATGACCGGTTGGTTGACATAAATCACTTTTTTTCCTTCACTGAATATATCCCGGGTGCGAAAAAAGTTTTTTCCCATTTAATTTAAATTGAAATTTGCTTGTCCGGATTTTCATATCAATTGTGATTTGTGAATGAATTGCACTTGAAATCAATTAATCAACCCTGCACTTTTGATAGTAAATCTTTAACACACCGACGTTCGTATTCAATCAATTCAGGAAAATTTATTTTATGACCACCCTGTAGATCATTTAATTTTGAATTGGAAAAAAAATTCATCAAAAAACCGACTGAAAGAGATTATTTTTTTGGTTGAATTTAGCCAAAAAAAAACCGGAAATTATTTAACCGCTGAATTTAATTCGCTGATGTGCTTCATAAACTAGAAATTCACGAAAAAATGTTGATGTTTTCCCCCAAATTTCGATCGAAAAAAAACCTCGATTTAATCTTTTAACCGAAAAAAAATCATCATCATCATTTCGCGAAAACATTCGAAAACATACGACCAACAATCGATTATATCGATAGTGATGATGATGATGATGAATGGGATACACGCGTTGCTCGTTCAAGGTCGTTTCGTGAAAAAAAACCGAAAAAAACGTTCGATTTTGGCTTCACTAACCAAAACCAAACATCCATTATCAATCTTGATGGCTTGTGGCTGATCTGATTGAATAAAGTGACTGAAAAACACAGATTTAAATAGATAATGAATGTTGTTCTTGTCGTCGTTTTTCCATTTGCTCATCATTTTCATATATGATGATAAATAATTGATTCAAATCATGCTGTGTTTTGTTGATGATCAACATGATGATCCATTAATGATGATTATCATCGAAAACTAAAAACCCTAGCATAAAATTGCCATATGTCACACTTTTGTTATTATCATTTGAACTTGATTGAATCAAATAATAATTTACATCTGTGCATGTTCACTCAGGGTTATATAATCAGGATATGTTTTCAAAGAGTAAAATAGTCGATCCACAAACAAACCAAAATCAACAAACATCNACTTGAAATCAATTAATCAACCCTGCACTTTTTTTTTGTCGATAGTAAATCTTTTGCACAAAACACACCGACGCTCGTGTTAATCAATTCAGAAAATTTAATAGAAAATTTATTTTATGACCACCCTGTAGATCATTTAATTTTGAGTTGGGAAAAAATTCATCAAAAACCGACCAAA